AACATTTATGTTTTTATTTCTGTTCTCTGATAAGCATTGTTCAGGGCTGCCATTCCCAAAAGCTTTAATGTTTTCTTATGATACTTTTGGGAAACGCAGCCCTGTTTGAATGCACTGTCAGCAGTGAGTGAATGCTGTCTGTGATTGATTGGTTCTGTCTTGCAACATTTGCGTGTGTTCAGATGAGCAGGAAAATAGTTCTATCCTACACAATTACTCGCTAACAAAGGTTATTCGTCCAATTCAATGCATATTGTACGCATTATTATTATTATTATTATTATTTTTGTTAAATAAACAAAACCACTGGTAAATAAAACGCACCTTATTATCGATATTTTTGTTTGAGTATCGATGCTTTCGATACTCGCGTCAGTATCGATATATCGATACCTCGGATCGATACGCCCATCCCTACCCGCTGTTATCGATTCAACATCGAAGTTTTTCCATTTCGAAGTTTTTTTTGCATTCAACAAGATACGCTAGAGAAATTTGAATATGTCTCAGTCTAAGATAACGTATTTTCATATAAGACTCACATTTAAAGACACCTTATTTTAAAAAGAAGAAGCTAAAGAGAGAGAGAGAGAGAGAGAGAGTTTTTACATTAAAATAATGCAATTTTTTCACTAGACATTGGACCTGCTATATAAAATATAACTGGTAAAATATAATTTTATATGTGTTTTGTCTTGAAAAGTAAGCAAATATCATATGGTAAGTAAGCATATGTAGTCCTTTAATTATGAAAACGTAAAAAACTGCATGTAAAATTAATAATAATTATACAAGAATTAGAAAATTAGAAAACTATCCAAATGTAATTTGTTTTTAAACCAAATTAAGTCATGATGTAGCAACTGGCTTTATTTTTGTGCGCATTTATAAGTGACTTTACGGTCCCTCAGTGTTTGATGCACTGGACACCAGGCGCCGTAAAGCGTCGATGTGACGCGCACACTTACTTTCACTGTCACGCTGTTATCGTTCAGGTGCTCGCTCGGTCAAGTGCAGAAAGATGTCTGCCGACCATTTGTCATCAAATTATCAATTCAAATAACCTCTTGTAAGTACGTCACGTTAAACAGGTTGAACTTGTCGCGTTTTTCAACCACACAAATGCACTTGCTGCAGCAAGAAACTACACACGGAAGTAAATCTATGTCTGTTTATATGCTACATAAAGTCTTTTATCTAAAGGATTAATGGTCTTTAACGGAGTAAGTTTACATTTCGGTGTTTCTCTAAAGTGATAACAACATGCATTCATTTATAAAGCGTCATGTCTGCTATTTGAGCAAGAAAAACAAATCTCTTTTAATGCTAAAGAGTCCGAATTGTGAGGAAATATATTAAATGCATGTTATGTTGTTGATCTACTTTGATTATTGATGCATTCCCACATTTTTTTTTAAAAAGACCACGTTTTCATTTGCATTTGTAAAGTGTTTTATTATTATTATTATTATTAATTATTATTATTATTAAATGCATAAACTTGGGCCAGTTGCATGAAAGGTTTAGACTGGTCTTATAAGTTAGCCATCAAAGACTGGTCATAATTTTTTAAAAATTCAGTTACATAACAGCATAGATTATAAGTTGAATCCAAAAATGAGACTGATTTCTGGCTAACTGCTAGTCGGACTTAATATAGGTCTTAATATAGAGGCTAAGTTTATGCAACTGGCCCCTGATGTGTTTAGAAGTGGAGGCTTTTC